CTGCTGGCCACGCTATTGCTGATGCAGGCCAGGATGCCGTTGGCCTTCTTGGCCACCTGGGCACACTGCTGGCTCCTGTTCAGCTGGCTGTCGACCAGCACCCCCAGGTCCCTCTCTGCTGGGCAGCTTTCCAGCCACTCTCCCCCGAGCCTGTAGTGTTGCAGGGGGTAGTTGTGACCAAAGTGCAGGACCCGGCACTTGGCTTTATTGAACCTCATACAACTGGCCTCAGCCCATCACTCCAGCCTGTCCAGATCCCTCTGCAAAGCCTCCCTACCCTCAAGGAGATCAACATTCCCACCCAACTTGGTGTCATCTGCAAAAGTATACCGAGATTGCTTTTTTCATAGGTGACTGTTTTCATTGATATAACTGTGACTGCTGACCTCTTACACCTGTCTGGGACGAGCAGACAGCAGGCTGAGTAGATGAGCCGGTTTAAAGTTAAATCTACCTCCGTATGAATGTGCTTAAATGACACAGTGGGGACTTTTACCAGCTCCCAACCCTGCTCTGGTCTATCTTAATTAGCACTAGGTCCATTCGGTGCCTGGCTGCTTTCATTGGCAATTTGAGAGTAGAAATTTTTCTAGGAGGGGCAGCAGAAGAAACAAATATACTTCTTAAGAATGCCACAGCATTTGCTTCCCTTTTAGCTTATTTTAGTTTAGAGGAACAAAAATAGAGATTTACAAGATAGAGGTTTACAAGGGTGTTAAAGAAAATACATCTGTTTATATGCCTAATGCTAGTACTAATAGTCTGGAAAAAAATTTTCTTACTTTTAAACAGGTAGGTCATTTGCTGTGACTTGTCATCTTCCTGTCAACACCGCTACAAGAGACCATACCATATTTCTGGGTTTTAGAATATGTCCTTAATAGTGCCTCTGGGCAGATTAGATGCAAATGTCTTGCTCAACATGTTCTGTTGTTTTTCTAAAGAAAAGTAAATAATAGCAGCCTGAACAAACCCACGTGCTCAGACAACTCACTTCTCTGTGGCAAATCACTGTAATAGTCTTTATCAATGAATGTATTTGAGTTACAAGGCTAAAGATTAACATCTATTTAATATGTTTCATTCTGTTGAACAGGACGTTGCTCTGGGCATTGGCAATGCCAGCAGTGAGGAAGGATTTCAGACAAATTTGTGGAAGATGTATTTACCTACATCTACAAAAATACATTAGGTTATCACCCAAATGGGAAGATGGGGAGGGAGCATAAAGCCAATGATCATAAAGCAACACAGAGGTCTCTAATGAGTTTAAATATTTTTGCAGCAGAAATGGAAATAAGTGAGTAAGCAGCATAGTGTGCATATGTGAATTACTCTTCTCATGCTGATTGCACTTAAAACACTATTTCAAGGTGAGCAGGTATGGAAAAAAAAAAGTCACTTCTCATTCTATGCTTATATATCCTTATTAGGGTGGGTCTTCACTGAGAGATCCATGTCTACTGATTTCCTAATAGTTTTAGTAAAAGTAGTATACACTATGCAAAAATTATGTACATGCTATCTAAGCAGTGCAGGTATCAATCAAAATACCTTTGATTTGTCCAAAATACCTTTGCTTTTTCAAAATACCAGTCATCTGTCTTTTAGGCATTACCTACTGCCTGCTGAAAACACCACCTGAAGTGATTTGTTTCCCTTTATATACGTATAAAACCCAGGCTACCTAGATCCAAAATAAACATGAAAAAAACTCTTTCCTTTTACGGAAGCAAGTGGATGCTTGTCCCTGTCAGCTATTATCCTCAGTGACAATCTTCAAAAACCCCTGAACTACTACTTTAGTGAATTAATACCACAGTTCAGAAACAAGGAGTAACTTGTTAGATCTTTTGGGACCAGGGGTGACCACCAGCAGGCTAGGGAACCCACCGAAAGTCTTAAGTCCTAGTTGCTGCAGTCACAAACCCTTCAGAGGGAGAATTTGCCCATAGGCATGGAGCCTCCGTAACCCGTGTTAGTCTAAGGATGAATATTCTAAAATTAAAGGCTCCTTGAAATTCAGACACCCTGACAGCAGGCTTTCCTGAGCTGGGATGAGGAACTCATGTTCAAAATATTCTTCATTTGCATAAAGTACTGTTACAGACAATAACTGTGATTAAAAGGGAAATAAAAGGCAATTATTACATACATACATACACACTGAGGTATGTTTGTGAGGCTTTTTGTTTGATTATGTGGATTTTAAATGGTTTTCTGAAATAAACCTACAGATGAGTAAATTGCATTCAGTCTTACTTATGCTGGAAACCTTTTTTATTGGTGGGTTTTCTTTATGCAAAATCCTCAAACATCATTCAGTGTCTCAAAAATACAAGATAATTTGTTGTTGGTTCTTATACAGCTCTCAATATAGCTCCTGGAAGTAAATGTGATACTTGAAACAACCATGATAGAAACCATATATATTAACTGTATTTTTATTATTTAGACAGCAACTTTTCCTCAGTTCCTTGAAGATTTCTGTTCCATAAATTGTCAGTGACTATGTATACTGGAATTTATCTGAATTTATCAGCATGTTTAAAAAATAATAATTTTAGATGCCTGTGTCTATTTGAATATACAAATAATTAAGTATTGGAAAACTAGCGTTGGCTCCAGAGTGGCTGAAATAGGAGATGAAATGAAGCAAAGGGAGATCAAATTTAAATCTCAAGACTGTGGCGTAACTGCTCATAAAATTAATTTTTTAGCTTTTAATTGCTTGGAGCATTTAAATTTAATCTGGAATAAAGATGTGCAATGGGGGACAGATTGTTTAAGACCACCTTTTAGGTTCTTGTCATCTTTATCTTCTAAGGTTCAT